TAATTTGAACTATAATTTGTAATTATTTGCATTTATCAATTTTTTATTTAATGTTGGGCATAAATTTTCGCGCATCACACGTACAAATTGCTAGTATTATATATACATATTATAATAATTAATAATTTTAACTCCTCAAGTCCTCAGATCTCAAAGTCGTAAGTCTCAACATTTGGCATTTTAATAATTCTTATTTTTCAAATATTAACTATAGATGGATGATTCTTTATATTGTCATCAACAAAACACTTCAAGTGGCACTCCAAGTGAGCCAACTGAACAATCGGGCAAGTAAAAAAGGAAACGTTTATTTAGTGGACTTCTACCAATATCGAACCGAATACTGAACCGAAACCGAAATCGAACCGAACCGAACTCTATTTTAAACCGAATGATTTAATTTTTTTAAAATCAAAAAACTAAAACCGAAAAAACCGAACCGAAACCCGAAGTGCTCAGCCCTAATATAAAGAGTCACTTAAGTAAAAAAAAAAATAAAAAAAATAGGATTATATCTCAACCACTGATCTGATCGAGATAAAGAAAAAAAAAGTGACATTTTTGATAAGTTTTTTCTAACTTTATTGTGTAAAAATGTATATTATAATGTGTAAAAGTTCATATTTATTATATCAAAATGATCATGTAGTTGTGTTTTAATAAAATTATAGTGTATATAAAATAAAATTAAATAACATTTTCACATATTTGAGTCTATAAACATCGAATGAAACTGTAGTGAAATATCGGAATGAAATAGTAGTTGTGTTGAACTGGAACGGTAGTGTATACAAAATGAAACTGGATAACAGAGTTACTTTTTGCGGAAGGGTGCGGAACGACGGAAAACTAATGCCGTTTCTTTTCATTAAACAAAACGACATCGTTTTGATGCGCGGTGCATAATTGATTATGCACCGCGGTGCACGATATAATTTGCATTTTGTGGACCATGGTCCTCACAATAATTTACCAATGTACTATGTACCAAAGTAAAATAAAGGAGTATGTGCCTACTTTCACCTATAAGTGCATGTAATTTTGCCTTGTTAGCATTCACTTCCCGCAAACATTCATGCACCTGGTGTGCTTATAACTATAGGTGCAACTACGTATAACTATAGGTGCAACTACTTTCACCTATAAGTGCATGTAATTTTGTCTTGTTAACATTCATTGATCTGAGTTCAGTGGGTAGTAATACCCCTAAAAACCACCCGCAAACATTCATGCACCTAGGTGCAACTACTTATAACTATCTGTGCAACTACTTAGAACTATAGGTGCAACTACTGATAACTATATGTGCATTTAGTATTGATGCTCAATGTAAATTTTTACTTGCACCTATAATACATTTTACATGCACTTGTAATACATTTTACTTGCACTTCGATGTTCAATTATTTACGAAAATGCCACCGCGCTTTTTAAAAAAAAAATCAGTGTTTCTCATCTATAGATCTGGACACGTGGACGGGCAGAATCCATTCCTATTTCGCTCCTGGGCGAAGTATTCGCACCTGAGTGCGATTATATATATATATATATATATATATATATATATATATATATATATATATATATATATATATATATATATATATATATATATATATAATACTATAAATTATCATTCATATTCTTCCGTATTATCGATCTAAATATTCTTAAAATATTATAACAAATCAATTTCGTGCAACGTACGGGTGAAAATACTAGTGAAAAAAATAACATTTTTAAAACTAATTGAATAGACAAATATAAATACATGAATAATTTAAGTAGAAAAGTATTATTAAAAAATAATTTAAGGTGTTATTTTTCTTTAAATTTCATCCTTAAAGGTTGAAGCTCAACTCTAAGGGTTTTCACAAGTCACAATCTCACGTTCAGAATCGAGCATTTGGAAAAATGTAAATTATAGTAACTCAGCTGAACACAGAGACTAGACCTTTGCTTACTGTGTATAAGGAGCCCTTCACTTTGAGAGATTGCTCCCATATCATTTTTCCCAAATTTTATTTCTGTTACCAACTGACTTACTCATAGAATTTATTATTATTTTTTTCTTTAAATAACTGAACAAGTGCATGTGCTAGACAGCTATACAAGTACTAAGTAATTGACATTTTCTAGCTATACAAGTACGGAGTAATAAATGAGTGTTTGAATAATTGAATGACTGCACGTAGTATGCAAATGAGGGCATCGAGAGTGTAAATTATATAGAACTGAGGGAGTAAAAAAGTGTGAATTAGGTAAAATTGAGGGCTCCAAAATAGTACTCCATACTATTTTAGAGCAATAGTATGGATTTTTTGTTGATTTTTCATAGACATGTAAAAGAGTGAGGAAAAGAGAGAAGAAGAAAAAAATTAATGACAAAAAAGAAAAATAAAATTGTCCTTTACGGCGCCCACCTGGGCACTACTGTTTCTTACACCCAAGCAACGCGCTGCTGCTTTGTTTCTTTTTCTCATTTAGTGGACCCCAAAAAAAAAACAAAAACAAAAACAAAAAAAATGTTTTACACAAAAAAATCCAAAAAACAAAAAACTCCACCTCCTATTTGTTAAAAAATCAACACTAAATTTTTTTTAATCGCAAAAAACCACATAACCCCCAATGTACTACAATTATTATTGTGTGGGCCATGGTCTACACAAGTTGTGTGGACCATATTTTGTCTACTGTAAAATAATGTACATTCAATACAAAAATATTATACATTCAGTACAAAAATAATGTACATTGTATTCAGGGGATGTGCATTAATTTTGTACTGAGTGTACATTATATTGTATAATGTACATTCAGTACAAAAATAATGTATATTTAGTATATTAAAAATGTACTTTTTGTTACGGTCCACGTAACAACAGTCGTTATATCGTTGACCGCGGCGGTAAAAAACGGCGCCATTTCTTTAAGTAAAGAAACAGCCCGCCGTTACTATTAACGGAGTCCGCATGTTTGGTGTATTAAACACCAACTGACACTACAGTATATCTAAACCGACACTGCCTCACGTATTATTTTTATATTATCAAATGATACTACAGTTATATCAAAATGATACTGTAGTTGTGGTGAAATGAAACTGCAGTGTATATAAAATTAAACAGAATAACATTTCACATATTTCAGTGTATATTGTACAATGAAGCTATAATTATATCAAAATGATCATGTAGTTGTGTTTTAATAAAACTATAGTGTATATAAAATAAAATTAAATAGCATTTTCACATATTTGAGTCTATAAACATCGAATGAAACTGTAGCGAAATATCGGAATGAAATTGTAGTTGTGTTGAACTGGAACTGTAGTGTATACAAATTGAAATTGGATAATAGAGTTACTTTTTGCAGAAGGGTGCGGAACGACGGAAAACTAATGCCGTTTCTTTTCATTTAACAAAACGACATCGTTTTAATGCGCGGTGCATAATCGATTATGCACCGCAGTGCACGATATAATTTGTATTTTATGGACCAGGATCCTCACAATAATGTATCAATGTACTATGTACCAAAGTAAAATAAAGGAGTATGGGCCCAATATACCAACAAAATAAAGAGAGTAGCTGAGATGACAATATAAAGAGTCACTTAAGTAAAAAAAAAAAAAAGATTATATCTCACCCACTAATCTGATCGAGATAAAGTAAAAAAAAAGTGACATTTTTGATAAGTTTTTTCTAACTTTATTGTGTAAAAATGTATATTATAAAGTGTAAAAGTTCATATTAATTAATAATTACTAGTGTATAGAGTAATACATAGTATAAGTTGAAAAATAATATGGTGACATTTTGATAATTTTCTAAATTTGAAGTACAAAGATTTATATTACAAGTGCATAAGTTTTATATTACGAATTTAAAAAGTAATATTAGTTTGAGATATTTACAAAATGTCACCTCATTTTTCTTAAATTAATATTTGAAAATGCACAATTATATATACTATAAAGTGCAAATTAAAGATTTATACTACAAAGTATAAAAGATTAATATTTCAAAACAACGAAAAATAAATATTTAAAAAAAAATTGAGAGTGACCACCCGCGCCCTCTGCCAGGGAAGACGCACTTGCGCCCTCACTGAGTCACTGAGTTTTATTTTATTTTATTTATTTTTATTTTAGAACCTGTAAAATCTTTGAGTTTTTGCAAGAGTAAAAATCAAGAAAAAACCACCATCTCCATTAGTTAAAAATTATCTATTCTTCTTTTCACTATTCGAAAAACTCATAAAACTACACAAATGGTGATGCTAATAGAAAGCACAGGGGTTCCAAGTGAAATATAATTCCTCATCACATCGATATGATGCAATAACTAACGCTGGCTGGATCTATACTACTTCAATTCACCATCCATCATTTCTTAGCTTGTTCAATCCATTATATTAGATTTGAGCAATACTCGAAAGAAAGAAAGAAAGAAAGAGAGAAAAATGGAATTTGGTGTTGTAACTTCACTGCTAGGAATAGTAGAACAGCAGCTTATTCATCAACCCCATCCTTGTTTGATTCATCTTCCTGCTGATACTCAAATAATCATCCAATCCTTATCTCACAAACTTCACTTCCTACAGGATTATCTACGAGATTCTGACCCTAAGGCGCAGAAGCTTTTGTCTGAAGGAATAATTAGAGATGTTGCAGTGGAAGCAGAAGATAAAATCGAGTCGAAACTAAGTGATGTTTATTTGGCAGCCGCAACTGAATCATCATCATCAGTTGAGGCTGCTTGTGAAGATCTTCATCACACCTTGCAACAAGTAGTGAAGGATATTGAAGTGCGCATCACAGATCATCTGCATACCTCCTCCTCGCTTGATAGTGATATCGATGATGCTTCTTCATCAACACCCGTACCATCTTCTTCTTTACAGCTAGCGGACATCCATACCAGGGTTGATGAAAATGTGATGATCGGACTCGAAGATGGATTTAATGAAATAAAATGCAGGCTAGTGACGTACCGGCTGTCACTAGAAGTCATCTCAATTGTTGGAATGGGTGGCGCAGGGAAAACCACTTTAGCTCGAAAACTTTATGAGGATCTATTAGTTTCTAGTGACTTTGACATTCGAGTATGGGTCACAGTATCTCAAGAATACAGTAAAAGGCAAATACTTATTAGCCTTTTACATTGTATTGTTTCATCGACCACCGAATTCTCCAGAAGAGACAATTTTGAGCTAGCATATCAGCTCAAAAAAAGTTTGCATGGCCAAAGGTATTTGATTGTCATTGATGATCTTTGGAGTACACAAGTATGGGATGACATTGAAAGATGTTTTGTTAACGATTACATCCAAAGTCGAGTTCTGATAACTACTCGAATACAGCAAGTGGCTGAACATGCTTCCTCAACAAAATCAAAAGCATTCATGTACCATATACGTTTTCTAGATCCAGTTGAAAGCTGGAATCTATTTGTCAGGAAAGTGTTTAAAGTTGGAGTTTGTCCACTCCCGGAACTCGAGCCAATTGGGAGAAAAATTGTTGAGAAATGCTATGGATTACCTCTAAAAATTGTTGTGATTGCCGGAATTCTAGTCAAACTCGGCATGTCACCAGAGCGCTGGGAGGATTTTGCTCAAAATTTTGATTCAACATTAATGGAAATGGACTCTCATTCAGTTCTAGGGATACTTGCATTGAGCTACGATAACTTGCCAACCTACCTGCGAACTTGTTTTCTATATTTGGGAATGTTTCCTGAAGACAGTGACATTCATGTCAAGAAATTGATGAAATTATGGGTGGCAGAGGGGTTTTTAGAGGCCAAGATGGGTAAAAGTTTGGAAGAGTTAGCAATGGATTACTTGTATGATCTTATTGACAGAAATCTAGTTCTAGTTGTCAAGCGAAGTTTTGATGGAAAAATCAAGTCATGTAGGGTTCATGATTTGCTACGTAAATTTTTCTTGAGAAAAACACTAGAAGACAACATGTTGGTTGTTAGTGATGATTATCGAGATGATGTTGTAGGAACACAACAATCATCAAAATTGGGTTGTCGTTGGATGAGCTGCCAATCTCATCGTTGGCCAATTACTCCATCAAATTACAATGGGGGTAAAATCCGTTCCCTTCTCTATTTTGGAAAAGATTTATACCTTCAAAAATGCAACTTCATATTTTCATGTCTCAATTTGTTAAGAGTTTTGGATTTATCTCTAATAAAGTATTGGAACGGCATGCCCACTGAAATTGTGAATTTGATTCATTTGAGATATCTAGCTTTAACCACTACGGGTTCTCTTTCTAAGTTTCAATTTTTTAAATTCCAAAGTTTGCAAACTCTCATTCTCTTTTCATGGATGGAAGACTATCATTTACAACTTCCCGATGATATTTTGAATTTGCCTTGGTTAAGGCATGTGCGCCTTGACAAGGGATCTTCACTTGATCTCCCAAGCTCAGTTCAAGAAAATCTACACACTCTTTTCTGGTTAAAAGTTGCTAGTTGGGACTCAAAACTCCTGGATTTCACAAGGGTTCCAAATTTGAAGGAATTGGGGATTTACATTGAAGGCCAAGTGTCGAGTGATGCTCTTGATGGTCTTGTTCAGTTATATTGTCTTGAAAAGTTAAAATTTGAATTAGGAAGGGTCGAGCACTTTTGCCTCCCGATTTCTTTTCCACCGAATCTCAAGAAGTTGACTCTTTGTAAGACTTATCTTCCATGGGAGGAGATGGATATTATTAGCAAACTTTCCAATCTTGAAGTACTCAAGCTAAAAGATTTTGCTTTTTGTGGTCCAGTGTGGAAACGAAGTGATGAGACGTTTCGTCGATTAAAGTTCTTGCTTGTTGCGCATTCGGATCTCGAACATTGGGAAGTAGATGAATATGTATTCCCAGTTTTGGAGTGCTTAGCACTAAGATGTTGCTGGTATTTGGAAGGAATTCCAATTGATTTTGCAAATATTTCCCATCTCCGATTAATTGAGTTAATCGACTGTTGTCCTTCTCTTGTGGATTCTGCAAATATGATCCAAGAAGAGCTCATTAATTTAGGGGAATATGAACGGCTTGTTGTTCGACATTTTTTAACTGAGGTTTATCTCTAATTCTCATTTCTTGATTTCAAATAATGAGTTTTAAGTCTTTTGATTCCAAGAATTAGTTTATTTTAAAATCCCTCTTATCTTGTTTTCTTTAGGAGGAATTGCAAAAGGATGGAAGCTCTGAAGAAGAGAGATAATATGCAATTTGATTATTTTGTGATTGAGCAAAACTGGTTTAGGCAAGGTATGTACCTATGGAAGATTAACACCAATCAATTTTCATATCCTTTGTTTCTTTGAAATATTTAATCTTGATAGGATATTGCACTTCATATCTTTCTTCCTCTTTTTTTTTTTTTTTTTTTTTTTTTTTTTTTTTTTTTTTTTTTTTCTGATTATTATAAAATTCTTGTGCGGTTGCTATATAAAATTGTTGGATATTTTTGCTATAGTATGAATAAGGATTTAAAAAGAAAATCAGATCACTTTTCTTTTTCTTAGAAATTTCTTATCAATCCTTTATTAAGATAACTTGATAACTGAAACTAATATATTTATATTTATATATTATAAAATGGATATAATGAAAATGTAATATTAAGTTTGTTATGACATTTGGATATAAAAAGGGGAGGACATTCTATTTGGTTATTTGCAAATAATTTTAGCTTTTCAATTTGTGTTTCTTGAAGGGAAATCATATAGAAGCTATAATGAGGCAAAATTCCCAGAAATATATGTCCCTTCCTGCTGGCAGATGTTTCAATTCATTGAGTTGCTGATGTTGCAGTTGATGTATTATTGTTGAAGTTCTTCATCTGTCTCTTTGGTATTTTGGATTCCTAGAAGTGTTAATGTTTTGGTCTTATCTATCAAATCAAAATAATATTTGGTTCCCAAGAATAATGTGATTGTTGGAAAATGAACACAAATGCTGGACAGCTCTGTAATATGTTTTACTTTTGAGATTAAAAATGACTTGGTTGCAAATTTGCTCTATACTCTTTGCAGTTCTTGCTCAAGATTTCAAAAACATCAGGCCTGTTTGGTGCATTTTTCTGTTTTATTTTAAATTTTTTTACAATTATTTTCCTTTTTTCATTTTCAATTAAAAAATAGAAAACATGTTTAGCAATATTTATTTTCCTTATTATTTTTAAAATAAGGAAGTATGAAGTTATTTAAAAATTTAAGGAAAAAAATTATGTAAGATTGGGATCGTTATTCGTGAGACCGGTAGGGTTAAGATAAAAAATGTAATACTTATACCGAAAAATATAATATTAATCAAGAATAAAATCTTTGTTATTTATAAGGGGAATGCAATTATTTTACATTTTCATTTAAAAGTATTACATTTAGCATTTTATTATTGATTAGTGATACATTTTTCAATATAAGTATTACATTTTTATCTTGACCCAACCCATCTCACATGAGAGTCACTCAAAATTTATTTGTTTTTCCTTCATTTTAACCAACATATAATGCTAGTGAATTAGTGATAATGATAATATTGAATGGTGTGGTCATGCGTGCACTTTAGATCAACTCGATTATATCTAAATTTTATTCAAATATTTAAAATTTTGAGTGCTACTTTCAAATTTTAATTCAAAAAACAAAATTAATATATATAGATGGCAATTATATGGCTAAAAAACATAACTATGTTCAAGTAGTTGATAGTCACCCATGAAACATGTTAGGTTGCACATAGCTAATCGATTTGAGAAGATCAATATACAACTTTTAGAAGGACTCGAACATTGGAGGGTATGACAGGGGACGTGCGTGAGATGGAATGTGAGGTTGGGGATCCAAAAAATGGCTTAACGGCGGGACTTACGGCGCAAACCCGCCAAGGATCATGAGTCTCTTAAGTTGGAATTGCCGGGGGTTTGGCAACCCGACGGCACTTCGTGTTTTAGCAGATTTAGTCCGCACGAAGAGGCCGAAGGTAGTGTTTCTGATGGAGACGTATGTAGACAAGCAACGAATGAAGATAATAAGGGTGCAACTTGGCCAGGCCCGGTCCTATCATTCTTTAGGCCCGGGGCATAACAACATAAAATGGGCCCTATACGAAATTAATATATATTTTTATAATTAAAATTTAAATTAAATAAGGAAGCAATACTAATGTCAAATAACTTAAATAAGATTCACAAGTTTTTAACAATTTTACATACACATGAAAACAATTATAGATGCATTCCTAAATCCACAATAATCAATCACCACATCAGTATTTTCATAAATAAATAATATAGTTTATAAAAATGAATAAATAATTTAAAACCAAATGAACTTATAGACAATCACATTATTATTATAATAAATAATAAAATAATTATTAATAAAAATTTATATAAAATAACTTACAAATAAGAGCATAGCATAAAATCTTAATTATTGGGAACAATAAATCAAAACACTCAAATGGGATAAAAGATATTCATAATAAAATACAAAACATAATTAATTCGATAAAATAGTTCAAACAAAAAACATGTAATAAATCACACATCTTATATATTGATATCATATTTATAAATACTCTTTTTTAGTTAGATCACTTTCAAATTTTTCTAGATTAATTTGCATACGAAGACGCACAATAAAACTTCTAACCTACTTTGATTAGATAATTCATACAAAAATTAAATTATATTTTAAAATATTTTTCATAACTAAATCACAAAATATATTACATATACATAACTCATTATAAAGTTCACAAAACAACAAATATTCTAAATATAAGTAGCAAATTACTCGAATAGATATAGGTTCAAAATTTTATATGTATTACAAATCAATCTATATTATCTCACTATAATTATAGAAAGTTAACAAAATCACAAAGTTACAAATTAAATTTAGAAAAGGGAAAATGGCACTTTTTCCCCCTGTGTTATATACTTATAGCACTTTTCCCCCCTATATTATTTAAGTGGCAATTTCCCCCCCCTGATATATTAAATGGACATATTTACCCTTAAAATAAATATTTCCTTTATTTTACTTCTCCAACAAATTATAACCACAATTTGAAAAAATAAAATACATTAATTGTTGAATTTAGAATACTTTAAAAATAAAAAAATAAAATTTTAAAATAATGTTTGAACCAACAGTTCAAATTGGATCCGAAATTGTGAAACAACGATTCAAAATAAAAACCAAATCGCGATTATATATACTTATATGTGAGAGTCAATATAAATGCGAAAAAAACATACACTATTTGCAAATATTATAATTCTAATTTAAGCTATTGCTAGTAGTTGTTCCGATTTGAACCTCTGGTTCACGGTTCAGAATCTATTTTTTTCCACTTCACAATTTTAATAAACGGAAACCCAAATATTGGGTTATGTTATGAATCATAACCGAATTTTTTTTTATTTGATTGCTATAGTGTTCGGTTCAGTTCGAACCGAACCGTGGCCATCCCTACGTATAAACAATAATTTGTTGAACAAGAGAAATAAATAAAATATGTATTTTAAGGGTAAAAATGTCTATTTAATATTATCAGGGGGAAAAACCGCCACTTTTATAATAATTGAGGGGGCAAATGTGGATGCATGAATAACTCAGGGGTTAAAAATGCTATAAGCATATAACATAGGGGGAAAAAGTGCCATTTTCCCTTTAGAAAAATACAAATTAGAAATAGAAATAAATAAATTGTAAGAAAATGTTATATAAGGGGATTTGATCCCTTGACCATTAGCATAAAAACTACAAGTCTTACCAACTCACCCAACTTGAATTTTACTCAAATTTTACTTTAGTAAAATTCTTAAAATCATATACTAATAGTAGAGGCGGAAATTTTTATGTGAAATTACATATGGGGATTCGATCCCAAGACCATGCGCATTAATTAAAATGTTAAGCCTTACCAACTCAACCAACTAAGAAATTATTATAAAAAATGTATACTAATTAGTTATATGACATTTCTATAGTATATATATAAGAGTAATGGTATAGGATAGGGGCCCCTTCCAAGCATGGGGCCCTGGGCAAGGGCCCAGCCTGCCCTTGCCCAGGGCCGGGCCTGAACTTGGCTTTGACAGTATGTTCGTCGTGGATGCAATAGGACATAGAGGGGGGTTGGCCATGCTATGGACTAATATGATAACTCTCACCATAATGGGCTATTCAAACAACCATATCGACATCAATATCTCGTTGGATGTTGGGAGCCTTGCATGGAGGTTCACAGGTTATTATGGGTACCCTGAGAGGCAGCGCAAGCGTGAGACGATTTCGGACTGTGGTTTGCAAGACTTTCCATTCTCGGGCAACCAGTTTACATGGGAACGCTCGCATGGTAGCCCCAATATGGTCGAAGAAAAATTGGGCGGTATCACGGCTTATGATAGTTGGTTGAACTTGTTTGGCAGTGTTACTACTAGTTCATTGTTATGCCCGTACAGTGACCATTTACCGCTATTTTTAATACCTATTGCGGAGCAGCGTGCAAGAGGAAGAAACAAGTTCATATTCGACAACATTTGGCTACGCGAAGACAAGTGCCGTGAAATTGTGGTGCGGAGTTGGGAAAGATCTGTAGGCTTGGATGCTCTGAGCAGGGTTGAACGTTGTGGCCGGGATATTGGGTAGTGGGGGACAACTTACAACAAGGAGTTCTAGCGGCGTATTGAACAATGTAGAGATCGGCTGGAGGCACTTCGACCACGGTGAGATCCTCAGGGGTTAGCAATAGATTATGCAATGTATGAGAAGGAGTTCCTTTACTTCCTTGAACAGCAACATGGGTATTGGAGGCAAAGGGCGAAGGAATACTGGTATAGGGGAGGAGATGTTAACAGCAAGTTTTTTCACAACTCCATCAAGACCAGGCAGAGGAGGAACAAGATACATCGCCTGAGAAATGATATTGGCCAGTGGGTCGAAGTGGAGAAGGCACCGGGTGATCTCATGGTGGATTATTTCAACAACCTATTTCGTGAAAACCAGGGAGAGATGGATGAGGTAATTGATTGTATTAAAACTACTATAATTGAGCAGGAAAATAATATGCTTCTCCAACCGTTAAGTATGGACGAGGTTCGTACTGTTGTGTTCCAGATGTCAATTTCAGAGTAGCGGCACACCGGAGCACAATAGAAAAAAAGGGAGAAGAAGGTAAACAGATGCAGAAAGAGAAAAGAGAAATATTTCATGTAGAGAATGTGATGAATCAAGTTCTTATTACAGAGGCAGTTGATCCTTATTTATAGATGGAGGATGATGCAACTGCTATGAACAGATTATGCGTAAAAATAGGAAGATATTTACAATAGCAAAATTAATAGAGCAGCACTGTTGATTTTAGACTTCTTGAACCTGGAGTGTTGAGCTATCACTGGTTCTTGCTGCTGACACCCCCCCGCAAGCTGGACTATACATATTGTATAGACCAAGCTTGGAGACGAAACCTTGGAGAGAAGCAGGAGCATGAGGCTTTGTGAAAACATCTGCCAATTGATGTGCAGTGGGAACATGGAGTAATTTCAGCAAGTTCTTTTGTAATTTTTCCCTTACGAAGTGACAGTCTATTTCAATATGTTTCGTGCGTTCATGAAACACCGGATTTTGGGATATGGCTATAGCAGACTGACTATCAGAATACAACACAGCGGGTGTAGAAGAGTGAACTTCAAACTCTGTTAACAAATAAGTAAGCCATTGAAGCTCAGCCGTAGCAGTAGCAATGGCTCTATACTCTGCTTCACTAGAGGACCTGGAAACTGTGTTTTGTTTCTTGGATTTCCAAGATACTAAGGCATTATCCAGAAACATGCAATAGCCTGTTACTGACTTCCTAGTCTCAGGACAAGAAGCCCAATCTGAGTCAGTAAACCCCTTAAGATGAAGAGTTGAATTGGCAGAGAAGAACATCCCCTGCCCAGGTGATGCCTTGAGATATCTAAGCACTCTATGTGCAGCTCTTAGATGAAATTCAGTGGGGCAATCCAAGAATTGAGAGAGTTGTTGTGTTGCGAAAGAGATGTCCGGCCTAGTAATAGTAAGATATAACAGTTTACCTATGATCCTCCTGTATGAAGTGACATCTTTCAAAGAAGGACTGTCACTATGAGTGAGCTTAGTGGAAGGCACCATAGGACTATTGACTGGCTTACTGTCAATGAAACCAGCCTGCTCTAAAAGTTCCAAAACATATTTTCGTTGACAAACACTTATTCCAGACCTGTTTCTGGCCACTTCCAACCCCAAAAAATACTTTAGGTGTCCCAAGTCTTTAATCTGGAACTTAGCATGTAAATGGGACTTGATATCCATGATTTGAGTTCTATCACTACTAGCAACAACCACATCATCAACATAGACGAGTAATGCAACAAAGGAGGCTCCAGTACCCCTGGTAAACAAGGAGTGGTCAGCCGTAGTCTGTTTAAAACCCATGCTTAAGAACTCAGTCGTAAGTTTTGCATTCCATTGTCTACTAGCTTGTTTAAGTCCATATAATGATTTGAGAAGCTTACACACTTGTCCAGGCCTTTGTGGAGTAAACCCAGGAGGCAAAGCCATATAAACTTCCTCATGTAGATCACCATGTAGGAAAGCATTGTTCACATCAAGCTGATGTAATTCCCAACCTTTAGCAGCTGCACAAGCAAGTAATACTCTAATAGTGGTGATTTTTACTACTGGGCTAAAAGTATCTAGGTAATCAAGCCCAGGAGTTTGAGTGTACCCCTTTGCTACCAATCAAGCTTTATACCTCTCCACAGATCCGTCCGCTCTATGCTTAACTTTGAAAACCCATTTGCAGCCAATTGGTTGTTTAGAGGCAGGAAGATCAGTTAACATCCAAGTATGATTAGCTTGCAATGCTGCTGATTCAGCTGCCATAGCTTGTCTCCAACACTCATGCTTTACTGCTTCTGCATATGTAGTAGGTTCCTTAATTGTCAACACATTGACAGCAAAGGCCTTATGTTTTGTAGACAACCTGCCATAATCCAAAACAGCCGAGAGAGAATGAGGAGAAGTTCTCTTGGTTCTGGGAATATTATCTGCACACACATAATCATTTAAGTAAGCTGGCCTGCTTTTTTCTCTACTAGATCTTCTAGATTGGTGCTGGGACTCTATAAGAGGTTCTGTCCCATCGTAAGTATCCGCAAACTGTGGCATATCATTCTGATATGAATTCTCTAACTGATCAGGTTCTTCGGGACAAATAGTATTGTCAGCAGGTAACACCGGTACAGAGACAATGAGTTCTTCATCTTTGGTTTGAGAAAAGGGGAAAACACCTTCATAGAAGGACACATCTCTAGAGATAAATACTTCCCTTGTCTTCAGATCATACAGCTTGTACCCTTTAAAGCCACCTGTATAGCCAATGAACACACACTTTCTTGCTCTTGGAGCAAATTTGGTCATATGAACCCCATGTACAGCAGCAAAAGCTAAGCAACCAAAAACTTTGAGATGCCCATATTGAGGAGCCTTTGAGAATAACAATTGATAAGGAACTTGGCCTTGTAATGCTGCAGAAGGTAGTCTATTAATTATATGAACAGCTTGCATAACACAATCACCCCAAAAAGGATCAGGAAGGCTAGCCTGAAATTTCAAAGCTCTTGCTATGGACAGGATATGACCATGTTTTCTCTCAACTATGCTGTTTTGTTGCGGGGTATAGACACATGATCTCTGATGAATTATTCCTCTGTCTTGATAAAATTCTGGCATATCAAACTCCTTCCCATTATCTGTTCTAACAATTTTAATGGATTTTCCAAACTGTGTTTGTATTAGAATGCAAAAAGCTTGAACCAATTTTCTTGCTTCATGTTTTCCTTTCATTAAGTAGATCCAAGTGGCTCTACTATAATCATCAACTACTGTTAAAAAATAATGATGGCCATATATTGTGGGAACAGCATAACTCCCCCAAATGTCAAAATGAACAAGTTCAAAACAAGCAGTTGTGTATGATTTACTAACTCCAAAAGGTAACCTCTTTTGTTTGGCCAAATGGCAACAGTCACATACAAAATCATCACTGACAGTAATATCACGATTTAACACTTTCAAGAGCTTAATCTTGTTATTAGAAGCATGTCCAAGTCTAGCATGCCAAACATTATTCAGACTAATACTGCTCTTATTCACAATCATGCAAGAAGGAGTTGTAGAAGTTGACAAACACAAATGATATAAGCCTCCATTAATTCTAGCTGTCCCAATCGTCTTCCCACAGTCCAGATCCTGTATAACACACTTGTCAGATCGGAAGGATATACTGTACTTGGAATTCTTGACCAGCTCATTGACAGAAATCAAATTATATTGAAATACAGGCACACAAAGAACATTCTCCAACACAATGTCATCAGATAGAAAAACTGTACCAACATGGGTTATATGTGCCTGTTGACCATTGGGCAATGCAACATGCATACCAGTTGTGCTTCTAACATCAGACAAAAGATCTATACTGCAGACAATATGGTGTGTAGCACCAGTGTCAAGAATCCAAATGGTTTTAGAACAAGAAGGCTTACCTTCAAAGTTTGCAGGTGAGACAACACTGGCAGAAACTATATTTGCTTGAGGAGTGAAATCAAGAGGTGTATTGACTGTATTCTGCTTTGTCTCATTCTGCTTAGGGCCAAGCAACCTACTATATTCCTCTTGAGAAATTGTCACAAAATTCCCTGCAGTGTTTTGGATTTGTTCAACAAAGCCTTGGGATTGAAATTGGTTCTGACTTCCAAATTGTGTGACACTGGATTGCAGCAAAGGACCTTGGACTTGGTTTACTGCTCCTGCACCTTTAGACCTGGGTACATAACCCGGCGGGTAACCATGGAGTTTGTAACATTTATCCACTGTGTGGCCAGTATATCCACAATGGCTGCAAATTGGTCCTGGTTTCTTGTTCCAATTGTTATTCTGTCTTCTTGGACGGAAGTTGTTGTTCTGAGGAAAACTAGCCAGGAATGCATGTCCAACAGTAGGACTCATCTGCTGAGAAGGCCCCTGCATCTGTGGTGTGGGAGTAGCACTGAGAATCCCACCATAAACCTCTCTTTCTTGCTGTTTCACCAAGGAAGATGCCCTTCCAACTGTAGGGAGAGGGCTCATCAACATAATTTGCGATTTAGTACTTGTATAGTTTTCATTCAATCCTCTCAAAAACATTGACAAATGATCATTTTCTACATAAGTGTAGAACTTCTCATATCCTCCACAATTGCACTTAGGAGTACAAGCACACACAAGCAAAGGTCTTAACACAAGTAATTCATCCCAAAGCAATTTCATCTGTGTGAAATATTGATCCACACTTAAAATCCCCTGTTTAAGCTGATAAGCTTGTCCTTGAATCTGTGAGATCCTAAAGATATCCCCCTCACTGAACCTCTCCTCTAAATGCTTCCATATAGCAATGGCAGATTGTAACCAAAGCACACTCTGTGCAATCTCAGGTGAGATGGATCTTACAATCCAGGAAACAACTATGTTATTACACCGTTCCCAAACCATGTACCTTTGTTCATCTTTGCTAGGTATAGGTATTCTACCATCAATAAATGCTAGTTTATTTTTGGTTGATAGAGCTATCTTCATAGCTCTTGCCC